GCTGGTATATATACGAACATGACTGGGGTATACTGATGGGATCCATGTTACCATATATAGCAGCACCATGGATTGTATGGGAATTGATAGTGATATTGATATTATTCCAATATTCTATAGTGAGATTCTAAAAAGAAAGGATTGGTGTTTTATCCATGGATTTCTGATAATCTTATGATGAATTGTGATGATTTGATGATCTTTGATGATTTGAGATAATTTGAGATTGATACAATGATGACGTGTGATGAGATATGATGATGTGTGATTCCTTATGATTTATGACTATTCGTAATCTTTTTTCATGATTCGTGCGGTCTTTACACTTTGCGATGCCCTCCGGTCACATTGAAACACGGCAACCCATTCTACTTGCCACACCTTGGCTGGCAGCAATCCGTGCCTGAAAGCGTAAAAGGTGTCACCCGGAAATCCTTTCGAATGAATCCTTTCGAATGCATGTCCTTTCGAGGGCTTTGTTAGTTTAAAAATCTGGGAAAACCCGAAATCCAGTGGTTCAAATCCTTTTCCCCATTCCAATTGTTAAAAAGAAGGCGGCTTTCGGCCCATTTGTGCGGCACAACTATACTAGAGTCGCGGTCATCTCATGGTCATCTCATCACCATTCAACTCTCCTTTAAGGTCCTTTAAGTTTCTGTAGCAGAAAAAAAAACGCAACTCCCCATCCAAAATCCTCCGGTTTTCTGTCGCCTCAAGGAAGTCTTCCAGCTTGGCCTTGGTGTCGTCGTCCAAGTTGTTCACTTCCACCTGATATCGTCATACGGTCCCGGTATACCTACAACCGTATACCTACCAAAAAACCTGTGTACATATTCCAAGTAACCCGGGTGTTGTCATTGAAAAAATAGACCACCCCTATTTCGTCGTTATAAAATGGGATATGCGTAAGTCTCAAATCGTCACTGTTTTTTTCTTACAAACTCGCATCCCCACCGAAGTGCAGGTGGTTAAAGGTCTGTCGTATTTCATAAGAAAAAACAATAAACCAAAAACAGTTTTTCTTTTTTACCCTGAAGGTTCGTTTTGTCAGCTCATTTCATTAGCTGGGAATGCCGTTATGTACCCAATTATAAGGTACTGTATTGATCTGCCATTATATAGCGATCCTCACCAAAATCTCTAACAACAACAACATCCTTATAAAATTGCTCATATATTCTCTTACACCTGGGCGTTCAGACTTTATAAGAGATATTACGAGGGGTCATTATGTATCTATATGAGTAATTATATATATATATATACCCTACAAGTCCTAGGACCTGTCATGTTAGGAACTGGGCCCCAGTTCCAGGAACTGGCGGAACCATGGTCACGGTTCCAAGGGCTGGTTTATAGACCCCAATTTTAGGAACAATCCATGATGACATCTCATCCAACATTAGATGATCAACCTTTGAAAACATTTCACAATGTGTAGAACTAAGCGACAAAACGCACTGAAGATGCGATCGTTTTTCATTTCCTTCTGGCAAGCTCTTGTGGCCTTGAAGCACTGATTCGAAGGATGGCTCTTTGCAGAACCCTTGTTTCCATACCAGGCCCAGAAGCTAGGTGAATCAATTTCTTCAAACTCTTCATTAGATCTTCCCCCTGGAAATTGTGAAAAAAACGGGGATTGTATCTCTCCCGTAGCAGATCTATTTGAAGATGGTGGTGTACATGCCCTTTAGGCAACACCTGCCAACGAAGTAGGTTTTGACCAACCGCTTCCCATGCAGAAGCATTATAGAATTGCAGTGCTTGGATCCCCACATTGTACATCCGACTGGCATTCGCCGAGCTCAAGTAGCGACCATAGGACTCGCATAGATGCTGCCACTCTGCAAATGTTGACCTTTAACCCCACATGATATCCCAAACAGATTTAGATTATAAGCACCCAAATTCCTAACTATTATAAATTGGTTTGCAGGTAGGCCCCAAACCGTGAAAATACATCTTAGATTTCACACTAGCCACACAGTCGCCACACCCAAAGTCCACAGTTGTCTCCGCTGCATGAAAGCTTGATGGCTTTCACCTGGGAACTGGCCCAGAAGCTCGTCACAATTACTGCTCAATTCGTCCTGGGCGCAAGGGATTAGCACCAAGCTTTTATAGATGCATTTTTTTGGGTTTCAGGAATCCCAAGAACTACAGAAAAGGACACAACCAAAAAATGGACAACCTTGAATTTGTAAAGATGTATTCAGGTAAGTTTCAAAACTGATTGATACGATATGTTTTGTTAATGATTATGGGGAGTAAGATACCCAGCTCAAAAAAGTAAAGTGGCTAGGATCTGCTAGGAAAGCCAGAATTATTCTGGAATTGAATGCTTTGCCATCCAGGCTAGGAAAGGAAGGCAGTCCCTTTGCATCAGTAATGTTGAGCTTCTTCACTGACCATCTCCTGTGGGAGCAACGAATTTTGTTTCGGCTGCACCAGTGCCTGAAATCACAGAAGCAGTGCCTGAGGGCTTCTTCCAAAGAACATGCCCATCGTCTCTGCTTATTTTCTGCCAAGATGAGTAAGCCTTCAGCATTCACAATATGGTAGATCCCTAGGTGGTTGCTATGCATCAGGCAAAATTTCCTGGTTGATCAGAACAAATTGCAAACAAATAAGCCAAATAAAATATGTTTTCATTTTTTCCAACCACGAATAACAAACAAATATATCACAATAGATCAAAATAGAAATTCTTTAAAACCAAATAATGGTTGAACACATTTCTGAACAATAGGCCAAATGTCAACATCTGAACATCAAAGCCTTCCAGGTGGATCAGGGGGTTTCGCTCTGAAGGAATCGACAGTAAGCATTGGTCTATGAATTGTTGTGTGCTGCGCTCGACCCACACAGTGTCAAAGTGAGTGAAGAGGATACCATACCTGATCATGATACAGGTCCAATTCCCATAACATTCCATTCTTATCCCCAAGAATTATGAAAGGGGTGGAAGAAAAATATTACATAATTTTATCAATTAAGACACTTGGGGATCCTAGCTGCACAACAGCGGTGACATATGGCACCTGACTTCCAGTAATGCCCAAAAAGGGCAAATAGCTCCACCAACCACTTCCAATCACCTTTGATTTCTGTGATGGCAAACTTCGAACTCAAATCAGGTGAAGATGTAGCACGTTTCTGTTGCCGCTTACTCAATGGAAATGGGGATGGCACAGTAGGTCTCCTTCCATGTAGACACAAATTCAAACTCCAAGTGGTTCTTTTCAAAATAGGTCGAAGGGTTTCCTAAGTGAAAGGGTCACTACTGTAGGCTCAAACACATGGGTGGCTCAGGACATACATGGAAGTGAAGAAGGTCACGTATGGCCGCGTTTCAATGTGAGGCGTGGGTGGGTTTGGGTTTTCGTTTTCCACTCAAAGAACATGACCCAATTGGACCCAGTGGCCACTCCACCAGTGCCACATACAAACGCAGTGTTGACCACGAAGAAAGGAAAGTTTTTTTCCCAAGCGTTGCCTCAACAAGGTGTACAACATTATTCTTCCATCTAAATCTAATTGTATTTTTTGGGGTCCCATATTTTTTTCAAAACCACGTGCCTTTTCGAACCAGTGGTGACTGCATAGCTAGCGCTAAGAACTTGTCACCTTGATCACTAAATTTGGCTTCATCCCCATACAGCGCCACCGGTAGCGCCCCATGGCCCGGATGATCAGCCATCCATTGCGCTACCTCACTCCAGTGGTGCCAATATTTCCTGGCAGAAGGGATGAGATGTATATCCTTATGTTTGGTGGTCATGTTTCCCCAAAAAGGTCTACAGTAAACAGTATTACTGTCAAACCATCACAAAATTTGCTAAGTAAAACAAGTGTCGCTATTTCGTATGGATCAACATCCAAACGGCCAGACTTGTGCAAATAGTCTAGAAGCTCATGGGGATCTATCATGGGCAGCTGGACTTCATGAACCCGGTCATTCATCCACGGCTCCAAGAGGAGGGGGCATGTAACATAGACCAATTCAAGTGGAAGCCTAATGAATCTGAACAAATCACGGTGAAGGTTTGCTTCGCGAATCTTGGCCACACTCGCTGTCACTTTGTGGACTGAAGATTCTCCTGCTTCCTGTTTAGGGATACCCCCAGCTATATAAATATATAATAAATCTAGTAAACCTTATAATACATGATTTGGGGACCCACAATTTGGTGGAAAACGCAAAAACCCAAGAGTCCTCAACCACAGCTTTTGCCAAATGGACAGCCCTAGCTGCTGATTCCCCTCCTTCACCCAAACGGGTAAGCCTCAGATCCACACCAGACACCTTAGAAATAATAGGAAATAAATCACACTATAGATCAATGGTTATCATATACAGTTAAATTCATTCCTGATTTATTGCTGATTCGTTAATTTGACCTTGGAATATTATCCCAAGGGTCATTGCCTGACTACACGACAACGCTCCAATTTGGCAGCTGGGCAGCAGGTCTTCTGCAAAGGCAGAAGATTGAGAAGATTGGGCACCTTGACCTGCGTGGGAATGTGTTTGGCGATGTGGGTCAATGATGGGCGATGTGTTGGTAAAAGTGCTGGACATCCTAGTGGGTATATTCAAATCAGTGCATCTCTAAAACTGCATTCCAAGAAAATCTTTGTATTGCAGGGTGGAAGCCATGTTTATTCATCAAGATGCATCAGCTAGTCATTTCCTTCCTCTCGCAAGTGTGCTTGAAGCTACACGCATACGTCATCGATAGGTCTAAGATCCCCCTTTCCTGGCCCCAGGGTAAAGACAACACTCTTTGTGGATAGGCTAAATGGTCAAGGAAATCAGCAAAGGAACCATGTTGTAGTATGAGAAAAACGGAAGGGGTCTCAAAGCCTTTCGGTTTATCCCCCGCGAGCTCCTAACATCTTGCTGGAACATGTCCTGCACCTAAGCCTTTTGGAAAAAAGGCAATGCAGAATTGGGTTGAATTGCATCAAAAGATAATACCAGCCAAATAGCCAAGTTTTTACTTGGCAGCCGAGTTGGAAACTTTCTTGGCCTTGGCCTTTGCCTTTGCCTTCGCTGCCGGGTCCGCCTTCCTAAGACAAGTTTTCACAGGGTCTGACACCTTCTTGAAGAGGGCACACTGGTCTTGCAAGTCCTGAGCATGGATGGCGAAGCAAATACAAATTGAATTGAACAAACTATATTCCAGTATAGTTGTTAATGAATAGAGATAGTTGTTTGTAAAATATGACAACTGTGACTTGTCTATTGGTATTAGAGATTGTTTGTTCATAAACTTAAAGGACATGTTGGGGTCCTGGATACTGAATTCAAATTACACTATCCAAGTGGCTGTCAGAGCTGCCTCAACGTTGCACTTGGTGGCCAAGGCATTGACTGCAGCCTTCTTTGCGCTGGTAAGATTGCCTTCAGCAGCTACCAAATCTTCGAGCAAGGCGCTCTTGTACTTCTCTGACCTGGGGGCCAAACCCAGGAGAGATGGATAATGAATATTCTTTGGGGATCATATTTTTAGTTGTCTGATCTAAGTTCATTGGGATTTGAAAGTTCCAAGTAGGCCCAGGGTTAACCAAGGCACACTTCCTTGCACGCCTGCAGCTTGTTCTGAAGAGCCTTGCATTCTGTCAACATGCGATGGGCCCCATTGTTCACCTGGGCGTAGGAAAGGCAGAACATCGACTCATAAAACCCTTGGAACATTAAACAGTAATTTGTGTTGAAATAGTCGTGTACGAAGAAAATATATAAAGATACTATGATTTGTCAAAATGACAGATGTGAGTTTCTGTTCATCAGTCTTCACCTCAGCCTTCTTCTGGGGATTCGATTTTGGCCGGGTGGTCTGGCCAGCACCGGTCTCAAATGTCGCCTCATCATCCATAGCAGCTTCCCTTAGTAGGCAATGGCCGACCACTGGATTGAACCATGTTGTGGACCTGTGAGGATATCTTAATCTGAATTTATCTGGGGAATATGAGGTGGAAAGTATATCATGCTGCATCGATATTGTATAAGTGTATATATATATATTGAAATATTACATCATGTATTTAGCCTATGAATATAAACATGATTATAGGGCCATGTTTAAGCTGAAGGGCATTGCAGCATGCATAGATTCTTCCTCCACCTCAGCCTCCATAGTGAGACTTGCAGAAGTTGAATGCTTCTCCTCTTTCACCTGGCGCAGGCCTGCGAAGTTCTTGTAGCGGTGCAGATCCTCTCTGTCCGGGAAGTCGGGGTTCCTAAGCAAGCTGCAAGGAAGCACGTGTGGGGTTTTGTTGGAATTACGCTATGTAAAACTTGGTGGGAACTATCGAAGGTTTATGTTATTTTGTTTTTTTGATTGATCTTTTTGAAACCTTGAAATGACACCCTAAAAATTTCTAGCTTGATCTAGACTGATCCAGTTGAGGGTCTTGATGATAAATTGACCCTTCTTAGATGCTGGCAACGCCTGTTCAGCCGTCTTGTGGCGGGCAATCAAATCATCAGCAAGGTCTGTACCAAGTTCCTGAATCATCTTGTCTCGGGTCCAGAATTCAAAAGTTGATTTCTGACGCTTGTGGTGTTCCTTCCTCGCATTGATGACCAACGAAGACTTTGTCCAGACGCCCTTGCAACTGACATAGTGCAAGTAGAGCTCATGCATTCGGTTCTTACCTCAACATGTTTTTGGTGGTAGCTCCCAATTTGAAAAATTACACTTTAAAGCTTAAGGCTTAAGCAATGTTGATAGCCAACAGTGTGAACAATGAACATTAACATCATCTAAGTGACTCTTCTCAGCAGCGATGAATTGCTCTGCCACTTCAGGTGGAGGAGGGTTCTTCTTGCCTAAGAGGATGGGCTATGGCAAACTAGGCATTCTAGTAGCGATGCCTTTTCAACAAAATAATAATAGTTTTACCAACCCCCTTGGGCCCCCATTTCCCACAAAATAGTTTTTTTGAAATGCATTTCCAAAGTACTTCGCAGCTTTCGGTAAAAGCGCATGTACAACGCCTTTGGCGAAATGATATTCCCACGTTTGTCCCTCATCCATCTCTCCTCTCCACCCTCTTCATCATCATTATCATCATCACCAACTTGCTCCTCACCCAACTCCCCTGGAAGCTCCTTGGAAACCTCATCGTTGGGAACCGGACGTGTCTCCATGTCCTCGTTCTCGTCAACTTCACCTGCCTTCGAAAGCTTGTCGGCAAAACTGGGCATGCGGTTTGCCAAACACTCCCTGACCTGTGACTGTGCGTCACTGCCAGTGACACTGCCAGGTGTTGGGGGGCAATGCTCTCTCCACGAAGAGTGAGGGGATGGGTCATAACGCCACTGAGAATCATAACCAGGGCTGTCCCAGTAGTGAGGATGGTAGCCATAGGATCCATGCCACCCATAGTTCCATCCATAGTAGGCTTGATTAGACTCCCAATGACCTTTCCAGTTTTCCCCCCACCCATCATCCTTTCCACTCTCTTCACTCATGTCGGGCATTGTGTCGGCTGTGCTTGTGAGTGTCTCTATGCTACCCTGAGGTGAGGTCAGTGAAGCCTTGGGTGGGGGGGTGACAGGGTCAGCAGATGGTAAGGCAGGAGCTTTCTCCAAGGTTTCTCCATCAGGTGACTTAGCAACAGACCCAGGTGACAAGTTTTCTGCACTAGTTGCCTTTGCAACAGCCTTGGGTGGTGGAGAACTAACGGCTTTGATTACAAGAGGTGCTGCCTTGACAACTGTGGCTGCCTGCTTGGCTGGAGGGGCTGGTGCTGCCTGCTTGGGTGGAGGGGCTGGTGCTGCCTTGCTTTTCTGGTCAACATCCATCTTCATGGCCTTTGCTCTGACGAGTACTGCTTGAACACGGTCCCATGCGCTAGAGCTAGGAGCTGACGCTGCTGGCTTGGGGGCAGGTGCTGGCTTTGGAGGTGCCTGCTTTGGCGCTGCTGTCATGTTTGCCGGGGACTTGCTGCGAAGCCTCTGCTGTGGAACCTTTGGGCAAGGGGGGGCTGTCTTGGCCTTGCATGGTGTGGGCACTGACTCTATCCCTTCCTCACCTTCACACTTCCTTTTCTGCTTAGCAAGGGCCAAGGTCTCTTTGGCCTTACTGAGCAAGCCCTGAACTTGGTTTGGGTTTGAAGGCGACTGCTCTGGCAGTGGCGTCTTCTCCTTCTTTGGCCTTCCCATGGTCCTCCCAGGGGAGAAAAATATACAAGCCTGTTTTGAAAAAGATTGTTATTTTTGAGAAAAAAATGCTAAATTCCTAAATCACGGTTCCGGGTCCTAAATCACGGTTCCGGCCCCTAAATCACGGTTCCAGGGTCCTACGTAACGGTTCCAAGCCCTAAATCACGGTTCCAAAATCCCCTTCTTTTTTGCTGAGATGGTTATGGCATGAAATTTAACCCCAAAATATCCCAAACATCGGTCCTGGTTGGGATGGACTAGAAGGTCCCGGTGCAATGGTTGGCTACAAGCCAGAAAATGCAGCACTCACAAAAAAAATGTTCAAAATTGAAATGAAAATGAACACCCAGATCAGAAGTGTCATGCCAGCGCTAGCATGAACAAAAGTCAGTTTGCAGACTCTTCTTGTAACAACTTCTTTTGGTTTTCCATCTCGCTCCCCAGGCTTGTGTGATCTCCAAATTGAATTAACTTGTGGTGAAACCACATGAATTTAGTCATCTTGGGTTGACCTTGGAATTTTGGCATATTGCCAAGTACCGATACTAAATCAGGCATGTCCCAAAACATTAAAGTAAATCGAAGCCTCTGATTCATTCAGTGGCTCCAGCCGAAGCGGTACCTCTTTCCGAGGTGTGAAGCTGCCAGCACGAGCTTCCTTCTTCAAGAAGGCCAGGATGGGTTCCTGGGCAAATTGGAATGGCAAAAGGAAAGGACCTGGTTTCATATGAACACTTTAGAAGTGTTGTGGTAGGGTCTGAGTAATAGCCACTAATGCATTAAAGATTCAAGGTTGGCATCCTCCCAGAAATCAGGCGCCACCTTGGCTGAATGGGAGCTAACACCTATAATAATGGATTTGCCCAGCTCAAGAATATAGGCCGACATGTATGGTTTACAATTATTCCAAGTTGAGACACAAATTTCTGAGGGCCATCAGATTGTTGCAGCTCATCTGGAAGTGAGGGGACGCTCTTGGTGTCCTGGGTAGCTAGGTCAGACCAAGGAATTCCCTTAAAACATGAAACATATATAATATCAGTAAAAATGAGATCTTGCTAGCCTGACATTTTGATTCAAGATTCAATGCACCATTTTTTGTGATACTCAGCAACCTTGCTGCAAAAAGCAGCTGGATACGTCTGCGTGTCGCGAAGCTTTGGTCCACCCGACCTTATCTAGTCAGTTTATAGTCATAACCAATACCACACACAGAGTGAAAAATACATCAGGTTATAAGCACTGAATCAACATCCCAGTTGTTTATGCGTTTTGAATCAAGGTACACACATACAACCTTGCCATGGGCTTTCTTCACCTTCGTATTTCCATCCGAGCTCCAGGAATGCTTCTCACGGTCAGCCTTCGTGATGTGGGATTGCAGGCTGAAACAATGCAGCCAAGGCCTCAAAAGCCAGAGGGGAAGTAGCTCGACAGGGGGTGAACTACCTGGTGATTTTCCATTTGTACAGCATCAAAGTGGCACTGTCTTATCTTGTAAGCTAGCCAAATGACGAATCTCCAAATAACACAGTTCTCTTCAAGCTGCGATGTCCCATCAGTCCCATCCACCTTGGTTGATGTTTAACCAATGATTTGGTAATAATGACCAGATGCAATGCATTACCCATGCACCATAATTGTATAGCAGCCGCAAACGATACAATCTAAATATTAGGAATTTTCACTACTGGCCAGCGGCTGACTGTATATTATGGGACATGGGATCATCAGGGCCTAGCATATCAAATACTGTGTTGCAACTAGTGAATCCAGCCTAGTGACATCCTTTGGACAAAGGATGACTGAAAGCCAAGCATATATCGACAAGGATAAAGTACCATGACAATGTACTGGAGGAAGAGCGCCAAGGAACCATTTGGCTGTTCCCCCCCCCACCAAACTTGACGGACTTTGCACACAAGTACCATCAAACTGAATCGACTTGCTTGCATGTTTCCTCGACGAACAAACTCCAGGGAAGTCACCCCTCGAGGGTTTGCCTTTGTTTTTTTTGACCCCCCTGAGGCCAACCAAACATGGGCTGAGCAAGGAAATCCAGCAAACATCAAACCACCCACTTTGCAGCGGAGCAGATACTGAAGTGCCAGCAAGAACCCGAGCCTTGGATAGTAGGTAGAAAACTATTACAACATATATGAAGGCAATGTGTCTATTCAACTGAAGCTGTGAATTGTCCAAATCAGTCAAGGCACGTCGTGTTGAAATTATATTGTTCACCCATATTCAGATCATAGCGCGAGGATCGCAATCCTCGCCTGCCTGACGTGTTGTGAAACCATAGGAAAAAAGTTGATGTAACTGAGGACCATTGTCAAAAGTTAGCTATTTTGGCAAGATGCTAAATGCTCGGGAGATACCAGCAGCACCAGCAAACATATCTAGCATCCACAGATCCTTGGCTGAGCTACTGTAATATGGCAGCCATGGCTTTAAGACATTAAATACTGACACATGCACATATACAAACACTCTTGCCTAACCAGCAATTATCTTCCATCACCCACCCAGTGAAACAAGTTTCTCTTTGAAATGCGCTGCTTGAAGTTTGGCTGATGTAGTCCAGGCAATGAATCCTGAGCGCAAGAGCGGCCTAGTGGATCTGGAAAACACTTGTTTCTAGTGATAAAGGGTTTGGATGTGAAAAATTGTAAGAACGCTCATTCATCCCAAGTACAATACGCAAGGTGCTTGAAGACATAAGAGGAGTGCAACCTCCTTGTCATTGATAGCGAAGGGCATGGCTTAAGGAGTAAGCCAATTGGGCACTTTGACTAAAGGCTTCAGCTCTGATCAAAAGTTCTGTGTGGTAGCAACACGTGTGTGTGTAACACTGATCAAGGGCCACTACATCCAAGTGAGACGCGCACAATCTGCAGGCTATGATGAACCCTGCAAAAAATACCCACACAAGTTTTATAATATGGGACCACTAAAATCATTATAGTGAGAAGGGGGCTAATTTCAATACTGAGTGGACACTTTGAGTTTTGAGCTGGGCTTCCATCGGCGCTTCAAGCTTAGCACTGTTACACAGCGATGTTCACTGACGATCTAGCATTCCAACGGTCAAAAGGGTTGCATCCCAGACCCTATCAGCCCCACAAATCAGATTTAAACAAGTTTGCATGGGATTTCCCCTCAATAGCTTTAATTATATTGAGTTTGGGTTATGTCTTAATGACTGACAGGGCACATCGCAACACGTACCATGGGCCTAAGCTAAAGATCTTCACCGCTTTGCAGTGCTTTCGTACTCTCAACCTGAACATCCCAAGGTCGGAAGATTGCGACTCAATCGACATCAGCTGTGTCTGGGGCCTGCCGGGCCCTTGAGACCTGGAGGGTCCCCTTTGCGTGATAGAAATCCCTCATAGCATCGGTCAAGCTCGTTCCGGCTTGCAATGCCATGGCCTTAAGGGTTGAAACGATAAATCCTACAGACAAACCAACAGGTTAATCATGGTAACATTTACTGGAGCTGACAACCTTTGATCTGATTGAATAATTTGGGCTCCCACAAGGGCAATGCAGGGCTCCACGATCTGTGTGTAGGTAGTCCCAGGCGAACAAGATTTCAACTGGATAAATCCAACCTCCTTCTTCTTGGAGACGGACGTGGCTTTCATTTCCACAGCAGCTTCTCCACGGGACCAGTAGGCAACCACCTGTCATTGGCTGTGGATGAGAATTTCTTTATAACTATAATGGGCTGTTTGGGTAGCTTGAGACAAATTATCAGTTATCAACTTAATACAGTAACTTTTGGGTGATGCTGGAAACAACCCACAGGATACCTATTGATCATTCTTATAAACACATCACTGGACTTCACCTTGTAGTTGTCCAGCAAAGGCAGGGATGGCAAGATTTTCGATTTTTCCTCTTCACCTGGGCGTTTTGGGAACCTAGACCTTTAACGAACTTCATGAATGAAAAGAATCCCATCTCTGCTACAGTTGAACATTGTGTGAATATAAAAATGGGCTAAGGTTTGAGCTGACTGCAAAAGTTGAATCTTGATTCTTCCTTTTCCTGGGTTCTGCCTTCGGCTTGGGCTCCTCTGCTTTCTTACTCGCAGCCTTGGGCGCAGCCTTGGCAGCCCCCTTAGCCTTGGCCTTGCCCCGAGGCCTGCCGCGTGGCTTTGCAGGCCCTTCAAGTGAAGCAGGCTCAGCAGCACTTGCTGCTGACTCGGTTGCCACCTGTTTGGGCTGACGTCCTCTGCGTTTGGGAGCTGCCTTTGCAGCCTCTGCCTTTTTGGCAGCAGAACGCCTGGGGAAACACATGATGTGGCTCATCAACCAACCCTCGAAGGAATGATAGCTCATCAGTCTTGTAGAAGACAAATTTGTGTTGGTAAATGTTCATTGGAAAATCTCTGTGCAACTGAGTTTCATTTCTGACTGTTCCTTGAGCAGATCCCCCTTGAAATGAATATCACCCAAAGAAGGCAAAGCACCCAATGTTGCATCCAAGTCCGGTGGGTTTTTGATCAAAGGCTCCTTGTCCTAAGTCAGCTGACATTTGAAAGCAGTCAACGTAACTATATAGAAATAAAAAACATTTCATATATTCGATTCAGGTGGTCCCCAAACCAAGAATCAATATCCGTTGACTGCTTATCAGGGTCCTCCTTGGCAGCCTCCCCAGCTTCAGCCTGCATGCAGCTGCACACAAGAATGAAAATTAATTTCAGGAAGTTGGTTAGCATCACCCTAAATATGCAAAATAAATCAAAATAAATTCATTGTAGCGACTTGCTTATTGACCTGGCCTTTTCGTCGACCAACTCGGCTGGCTCCAGGTCTTTCGAGGCAGTCTTGCACAGACAAGGAGACCATTGGGCAGGGATCGGGATTGGGACAAAATACAAAAAGGTCAAGGAATGACCACCCAGATTTGAAAAGATTGTATGGTTTGGGGCCGGCCTCTGGCACAGGATCGGCAGTACTCATGGGGCATTCCTGCCAGGGAAGTTGAGTTTTAGTTTTAAACATGAGTATGGACTCCCTTTGCCTCAATCTTGTCAGCTGCGCCCCCTTCGTGGTTGCCGGGGTCATCCAAGGGCTCCTGTTGCCAAGCATGTTTGTTGAGTAACTCCAAATTATTCCTTTCGTTGAAAGATCACAACACTTTGAATGACATCAATTTCAGAAACACACCTCCACAGATTGATGTTCTTTCACTTCAACCTGCCATGTATGAAAATCACATGTTGTCAAATTTTGATTTTGCTCCATGAAATAGAAGCACAATCAAAGTGGAATCCTTCTATGAATTCTTGCCTCCATGGCCATGGTTGCATCATCTCTTTCAAGAGATGCCTGACAGGCATTGGCTATAAAGGAAATCTCTTGTGGATGCCGAGAGTTTTTTCTATGTTTAGCTAATTAATTAAGATCTTGCCTCAGTTGCCGCCCTCGTAGCTTCAGTATCATCCCGAGGCTCCTCACACAGGCATTAGCGTTTTAGACTTAAAGGGTCAAAGGTATTGCAACAGAAAGTCAAACGGCCGCAATTAATTGAAAACCAGCAGATGCCTCCATAGCTTCTTCAGCTGCTTGATGCTTCTCCAGGAAAATCTCGGGCTCCTGGGTAGTCAGCGGGTTTCGAAAGATTGGACCATAAGTAGGGGATATTTGAACCAATCCTGCAAACACATTGACCTTGACCTTGACCACCTTCTTAAAGACGACTTTGGAATCCATGGGCGTGGAGGCCATGGGGTCTCCTCCATCACCAAAGTATCAAGTTGGGAGGGGTCAGCTGGATTGACCGTGGTGTGAGCAGGTGCTTCACCTTCATTTGTAGCAGCACCAGTGTCCCCAGCAGAGCCAGCCGCCTCAGAGCTGCCGGCCTCACCAGGAGTTTCCTCCTCAAGACCTTCACCATCATCATCCTCCTCAGGAGCAGATGTTGCTGGGTCTGATGGAGCAAGGGCAGAAGCAGCATCCCCGTACTTCACATTGAGGATATCCTTCAAGCTTTGGACGGCTTCTGACCTGATTGAGATTGAACAAGAGGATGTAATGAATAGGGTCCCCTCACAACAAAACTAATGAACATATACATTGTTTAATTTTGAAGTAGTACTGCAAACAATGGGCTTGGAGCGGGTTGGGCTCTTCCTCCACAGTCTTGTCATATATTTTGCATGACACCGCACTACTCCAGCTTGCATCTCAGACCAGTCTTTGACACCTTTAACCAGGGCTGCTTCACCCAACAGGCAGTAAGTCTCATTGACCTTCACAAAGGCAGCCTTAGATTCCAAGGGCCAGAGGTAAAGCTGACTATGATGTTAGGATTATGTATTCTAAATGATTTCTAGCCAAAGAACTCTGAATTTTCCAAGGTTTGGGATTGCAAGTCCAAACTCCGCTAAGATGTAGCTGAGAGGGAAGTCCAACTGGGCGCATGATTCCTCTGTTGGATCAAGGGTGCAACTTCCCACAAAATTGTGGGCAGGATCCTCTCTAAGTTTCTTGGTCTCGATAACACGGCACCACTCATCGATAACGGCGATGAGGTAGGTCAACCTAAGAAGCAGGCCATGGCAGGTTCCTAAATAATTTTAAATATGTGAATGCTGGAAAGAACTTACACGATTTCCAACTAATATGTTGTCCAAAAAACTCGGGATCCTGTCCTCCCTTGTCACTCATGGCAGCACTGGCAGCTGTGCAGGATCCAAACTCTGAGAGCTGATGGCGCTTGGTATGGGCAGTGGTGTATCGGCAACGGGATGTGGTATGGGCATGCAGTTGCTCTTACAACTAGTGATTGACCCATTTTGATGTTGAATTGTGTCCATCTCATACATGTTGTTACTCCACAGCCCAAATTGTAGCAGCTGGGGTGGTCGCACCTGTGTCTAGAAGTCGCCGAGCACGAAGCTTCTTCATGGCAGCATGGGAAAGATTGGGAAGGCATGGGAAGGCTGATGCTTGAGTGGTGGATACACATAATTTTTATGATCTTGAATATCCCCAAAGCACCATGTGTATTGAATATTGTTCTTATTGAATGTTGTTGATAATCATGCTATCCTCATGGCACCCCGGTTCCGGAACCCAATCCTGCTTCCACCCATTTTGGTATCTGCAGCGGTTCCGAGCATAGTGGGACATGGAAGGGTAGGGTATATATATATGTAGGGTCCATGGGGGTCTTTTCAACAGGGATGCATATAGACATTATACATTATACCTCATCAGCCATTGAGCACATCTGCCATCCGATGTGCCATCCCAGCCATCGCCTCCCGTTGCTCCGAGGACAAAGAACAAAGATAATCCCAGAGCTTTGCGAGGTCTGTCAAGCAGGGATTCACATGGGGATTGGATTTTTCCGTCGCTGTGCTCATGGTTCATGGCTAGTTGATCTAGTGGATACACAAAAGAATGGAAAGTTGTGAATTCGTGGCGCATTGATTTTTCTCCTGCATTTCTGAATGGGGTGAATTTCTGCCCCTAGGGATCCCTCAACGGATCACCATCTTGGCATCCTACATCTTGGCAAAGAAACTCCTCCGTGTGAGGACGAGGTTGGTCCGAATTAGTTGCAGCAAATCAAGATCTGATGTACTTTACCGCCACCACTGATAGAACAGCAGCCTCAGCTTGCGAAGGGCTTTATCAACAAGTGCATTTCTGGCATTTCCAGTGTGCATTCAACCAAAAAAACGAAAGAACATGCCACTGCCACTCACCTAAGGCGGCTATGGTGTTGTGCCTGGCTTGTTCTTGGTCAGCCTTAGAACTCAGATATCCACCCTATCCCTCGCCATCATTGCCATCTTCAACCCAGCATGCTGGAAGGATTTCCCTCATGGTCAGTCGATTAGATATTCTTTCGAACAAATCACCCGGGTTCATCTATTGCATCTATCTTTTGACCCAGCATCCACTGGGTTTTACCCAGTTGGTTTGTTTTTTTTTTCCGGGTTCATGTTAAAGAATAACTGCAGGAAGTCGATGGTTGTCCCATCCAAATAATCTAGTTAGTTGGTGCTGCCACTCAATCAAGAATATGATCATCAAGGATCATCATCTTTTAGGGATTGGATCCTTATAACGAAACCGTTCACATGCTTTTCCTACAACCAGTCATAGTGTTTGATATGTTTGATACTTGGGAACATAGTGCCTATATCGCCTATGTACCATAAGACAATGCAAACATGCACTTATCCTATAGATCCCATAGCAGATCCTCCAAAAGAGTGACAAGAAAATCCTGCCTACAAGGGCCCTGCAAATACTAAAAAATTGTTCTATCCTTTGGGGGTTGATTCTTCCTTCCATTTCCCATCCCAAACTTGCTTAAAAATCAGGTCATGCAGCAAGAATATCCAAAAGATTGAATTTCAAGATGAAAAAAAATGTAGAAAAAAATGCAGTACCCTCCCGTAAATTAACATAGACCCTGGTAGAGAGGGGTTGGAAGATTAGTTTCCATTAAAAATTGGTGATCCTCAGGGTCTATGTTTATTTACCAGAGGGTATGAACACAAAGACTCATCTAAATCCTCCCCTTGCCACGTGGCAAAGATCAGCCGCAGAGCCCGCTCCGGCAGAAGTGCTGCCATTTCGCCCCCGCCGAAACCGCCCAGCAGCGCACCCAGCACAGCGAAGCCCGCCAGGTCCCGATCCACGTTGCCCTTGGACCAATGGGTGGAGCAACTCACCACCTGAGGCACTGAACATTGGGTGAACGATGAGGATGGAAGATTTTGATTTTTGTGAAATATCATGATCATGTGGTTCGAAATAGTGGTTTTATGGAATATGAATGGGTAATAATGGGTATACAGTATACAGTATTTAGTTTATTTTGATGTTGGTTTAATGGAATATGAATGGGTATAGTTAGAATGGTCTATGACTAGCTACAATTGTTCCCATCCCCCTATGAAGCTCCTTAAACACCCCCAATATCAACCATAGTTTTTTTGGATGAAAATACATTCTTGGGACCATAGAATGGGTGCGTTCAGATTGGGTGGATGTGGTTATGTCACATTCTTTCACCATAGTTATAGGGATTTATCTGAATGAAATCAGGGATGTGACCATCAAAATTGCTAGATATATGATTTCACCAAAGTGGGATGATGATGAATAATGTACGTATGTTTGCTTAAAATACAAACATGTTCGTGCTTACACTCCCATTACAAGAATTATAGCACCATTGATATTGTAACCACGGTAAACATAACCATTACTTGGGGGAGCGTTTTTTACTAATTTGCGTGGTTCTATCTCACCACAGTTTATATATGTTAAATCATGTTATAACAGCTAGGCTATGACTACCCATAATTAACTCCAACTGGATACATCATGATGGATTCAAAGGCAAATCCAAAGGTAGGTTCCAAGAGTCTAAGAGTATGCTCAAATATGCTCAAATCACCTTAGATGGATATTCTGGATATTTGGGATATAAATTGCGATAAAAATTTTGACGACCTGATGGTGGGGGATGATGCTGGAATGGGATTGCTTGGGATATAAATTAGGTAAAATCATCGATCTGAATGGGCAAGACACTTTCAAAGAATACAAATGGGGGATGAAATGAGGGATTTTACCGTCAAAATTGGGTACAGTCACCGGCGATTTTCATCGGAAAATCGCCAAGGATGAAGGATGAGGGTTGTCGGGCTATAAATGGGGATGTGGATGCGGGTTAAAACGAAGCATTTCATGGGGATGTAGTGGCAAAAAAGAGGCACCGATGATAGGTTCGAACCATCCATTTTTGAGGTTTGACCCATCGTTTCCCCATCCCATCCGTTCATGGATTTGTCTCAAAATAGGGTACCCCCTTCCACCCCATGGTTGAAAACTACCATCCCAATGTTATTCCATCATTTGATAGTCATATATTTATTCGTGATATTCGTGGTAGATCCAACATTCAATATTCTTGGTAAGATGTCCCACGAATTATCACCATTGAATACCATTGATATCTCTCATTATCTTTGCCATCGGTACCCAATTTTCAATGAAGGGATGGGATGGGGGCATCGGTTGCTACGCCCTAAATGAGCTGCATGAGTTGCTTCTAGTCTCTTGGCTGGAATGATGTGTTTTTCGTTCTTTGTGTGATTATTTTTCGCTGGGCGGGTCTATATATAACTCATGTTTAAATGGATTTACATTCGAACAAAACCACACTGGATTTGCGCTAATGCAAATGTGAGTTTGCGATAGAAAAACATCGTTTGGTGTTCGCATTGAGGAACATCATAGACATCCGGTTCTGCCGGCGAATTGAAAAGTGCAGAGCCCGGAGGCAAAAGTGAATGGCAGGCGCAGTTGAAACTTTTCACCCCGGAATCCTACAAATGATGTGTGGCAGGTGGGTTTTTGATGACATCTGAAATTTCTGAAATACACATCGAAATGCTGAAAGGCTTCTGAAATCAGAATGAAATTCTTCAGATTCATTAACTGTGTTTCCTCATGATTTTTTTCAACTTGGCCCGTAGGTGACCCGTGCGTGACCCGTGGGTGACGCGCAGGTGACCAGTTTAAAGAGATGCAAGGTACCCTCAAATGGGCCACAAAATGATTAGATTCAATACTCAATGCCGGCGAAGGTCCCCCAACGTTGTAGTCAACTGTCATTCCCGCATGGAACTACGCCCCCCAACTGCTAGGAAAAGTCACCCCAACTTTTTCGCCCATTGTAAACGCAGCACGAAAATGAAAAAGTACAAAAAAATATCATCCCAAATGTGCAAAACACCATGAGAACGCAAGCCACCCCAATGGTTTCAAACTACGGAAAATTATTAACATATGTTTCAATATCAAACCACCATGTACACGCATGATTCATGTATGTTTTGGTACGTTTTGGTAACAAATCTATGGGGTTCTGATTTACATCTTAACTCAATATTTCTGCAACGGGGCCCGAACGAGGCCAAAAACGATGCCAAAACGAGGCCAGGAAATAGCTTTGGAAACCCCTCAGCTTTAGCAGCAGTTTACAACCAGCCCGGCAGCAAGTCTCTAGCAGGAGTCTAGAAGCAGGCTGGCAGCAGCTCAATGCAGCTCAGCAGCAGTTTGCACGCTGCCCGTGGTGATATCCCGCCGCCATTTAGCAGCAGCCCAGCATCAGCCCGACAACAGTTGTAACAGCCTTTCTGCAGGCCAGCATCTACTGCAATTAGATGAATCGATGCATCTACTCTAGAAAGGCACCCCCCCGGCAGGGCGACATGTAAACATGTGACTGGATTTGCTCGAAGGTCACGTGAATGAGCCAGGCATGACACAAAATCAAGTTCACCAGTGTAAACACAAGCTAAATGAAGCAATATTTACTTCTAAAGCCCCGTTTTCTATCTTACGCAACTGCTCCACAGCAACTAAACGCATGTTGGGGCGACTTTCCCGGGAAGTCCCCCCAACTAAACGCAAGATTTTGGATCGGGCGGGGTGAGTTCGCTATAAGCGAGTACTAGACCATCGACCCATGTTTCTAGGGAGGCGTTCAATCTTAGGCCGGGACTATTCTACAACCCCCATAATTAGAAGTAGCTCTCAGCAGCGTTGCGCCAGCCATGGAACTGAAGGAAGGAGCATGGCTAGCAGCGCGCTGCCCTGCGCTTCAGATTGAGGAAAGGCAAAGGCCAGGGCCAACACAGGCACCAAGACAGTACCACCACCCACCTAGGCTGCGCGGTAGGCTTCAAAAGATTTCAAAAGTGGTTGAACTACGACCTCAACTGGCTCATGCTTACCTGAATGACGGGATGCCAGGAGTTTGACACTGGAACTCTCTTGACCACTAGAACTGCACCATGAAGTGACGCTTGACCCAAAAGTAGGAAATTTGATGCCAAGGAAATCTAAGGAAATCTAATCATGAGGTGTCTTTCTATCAACCTTGACCCCTCACTTGCGAAATACCTCTGCTGGATCAAACCGAAGCCACTCCCAGCAATCCAGAGACCAATCCACTGGCAATGCCCAGCCCTGACAGTGGTAGCAGAGCTGCAGTGGCACCCGCGTGGGTCACAGACGAGTGGACCTCGATGCGGATGGCGAGACAATCGCCGGATGATGGATGTGGAATCAAGATGAATCAACAATATCTGAAATATCTGGTTGGTGGTTTCAACCCCTCTGAAAAAATATTAGTCAGTTGGGATTATCCTTCCCAATATATGGAAAAATAAAAATGTTCCAAACCACCAATCAGTTATGCAATATGGGTTTGTCTGAGAATAGGCTAAGTACAACGAAAACCCATCATTTAAAAATTTATCATTATTTTTTCGCCCCTGGCCATAACTGCGGGTTAAAATCCCCCATTTTCATGTGTGACACCCAAAGTTTGTGTCCATGGTATGATTCATGGTCAGTGGGAACTCAAAAAAAAACCTAGGGTCTAGGGTGTTTGTGTGTGTAACATCTTAATAGATGTGAAACTTTCTCTTCCTTTTCTTCCTTCTGTCCTCTCCCTTTTTAATAACGCAGGGGGATGAGGGTCCCTTGGTGTGCCTCATCTAACAAAGACCGCACCAAGTGGACGTGATATCAGTGCCCGGCCAGCACTGACGTACCTGCACCTTTATATTCTTTACGCTGTTGGTTTATATGTCAAAGACTCCTGTGATTTTTACTGACGTGCTCTTTATACTCTCAATGCTGTTGGTTTATATGTCAATGACTCCTGTGATTTATACTGACGTGGCAAGGGGCTAAGCCAAGAACCCCAATAAACAATCTAATAAACAATCTAATAAACAATCTAATAAACAATCTAATAAACAATCTAATAAACAATCTAAACAATCTAATTGCATGTTTCAGGACTCAGTTCCTGACGGATCTATTCAAAGATCCCATTCTTGTCTAGTGTGTGTATGGCTGTCAAGTGACTGGAAGCAAGCGAAGAGCTTTGGCCATGATTACCACTGAAACAAGCAGCAGCCAAGCACCAAAACCTTCCAGTGTGCCAGATACGAAACTGGAGAAACAAGAAAAATTAACGGTTGAATGAAAAGCTGACTGGCCAATTTACCTACAAAGGATTGGCAATTTACGAAATCATTTACAAGGTGGGGCCCCCAAACGATACTTAAGTAGGTTTATAACTCCAATAGCTACGGTTTATGGCACTTTTCGAGTCAATGGAGATCATAAACCCACACAAGGTACCTATATAGAATGAATTGGAGCAACCCTGGCCTTTTTTCAAGGTCTTCGGTTTCACTTTATTCGTCATGCTGGCACCCATCCGCGCGCTGATCACTGCAGTCACTGCAATGGCCCCGGCAGCGCGGAGTGATGCTAAGCCCTCGTGGATGTAGGTGCAAACGGCTGAAGCACTGGTAGCTAACACCACGAAGGAACTGGTCCCAATGGACTTCCGCGGCTCCAATCCCATCCTAATGCGAAGACGTTCGCACCCCACAGGAGGAATATCAAGTTGTGAACCAAAGTAATTAGTATGTGGAGGTTTCCTAAAATAGGGGTACCCCCAGTCATCATCCATTTCAATAGGATTTCCATGAAATAAACCATCCAGCTATTGGGGTACCCCCATTTATGGAAACCCCCATCGACTCAACGATCGTTGAACATCGGAGTGGCGGTATGTTCTCCGCTGAAATCTGGTGTAACTCCTTACTTCATTGGATAATATCCAAGTACCAACCACAAATTGCTGCAACCCTTTCAAAATCCTTCATTTTCATAGCAAAGATCAGTTTCCATCCCTGATTTGCCAAGGGGGATGCCTCAACTATCCCCCATTTTCTTGATGAAATCCTAGTCCTTCATGTCCAGATCCGCGATTCTCTTGGATTTTTTGTTAGTTCCCCCCTCTCAACCGTCCCAACCATCCAACCTTCCCAACCATCCCACTATAAAAATGCGAAATCCCAATCTGTGATGATAACATCATATAAAATCAATCCATTAAAATCTATACTCCCCCCGTGCTTTCATTGTTCTCCAGAGGAAAAATGTTCATTCTTCAGCCTAAAATATGTTAAAATATGTTAAAATCACTAAAAACCCAGCCCGTGTTCCCAGATGTTCCCAGATGTTCAATGATTTCATATGATGTCCAATCATTTTTCCAAGTTCTTCACTCTTTTCCTATGGGTTTTCCCATGGTTTTCCCGTCCCCTTTTTCACGGGAGCATCAGCGAGTTCAAGGCCGGCACCACCAGGAAGCCTCCACCTAAGCCCAGGGCGCCGCCCAGTCCGCCCGCCACCAGGCCGATGCTCAACGAGCCCAACTTGCGGCCTGACACGGTGATATCTTGGGATTTCATGGTGGCTTAACTATCTTTAATGGTGGCTTAACTATCTAGAATATTTGGGCTTAACTATCCAATAGATACCTAATATCTTGAATCTATAGAATACATATCATGATCTTAATCTAATGGTGATATCTAAGATATCTAGAATCTCTATAGAAAGAAGGGTAAATGAATACATGGTTCCACCATGGGAGAAAAAATTGTTCTATCTATTGATCTATCTATCTGTCTATCTACCTACCTGTCTATCTATCTATCTGTCTATCTATCTACCTATCTGTCTGTCGATCTACCTATCTGTCTGTCTATCTATCTGTCTATCTATCTGTCTATCTATCTGTCGATCCATCCATCCATCCATCCATCTATCCATATAGTAACCACCAATGGTGGATTAATGGTGGTTTTAGAAGTGGCCTGACCATCAACTTGATGGTAGTACAATGGAACATGTATGAAAAGATAAGGGATTTACACTCCGGCAATTTGACATAGCGATGGAAAATGGACCATTTACAGGAGATTTACCTATAGTTAGAAATTGTGATTTTCCATAGCTATGCTAAATTACCTGAGAGCACACGATCGTATAAGTATGAACATTTATGGTAAAATCTTGGTTTTCACAAAATCGATGATTAAATATGACTTCACAGTCGATTTAGGTTATAGTACTGAACAATAGATTTAGATTTAAAGATAAACCACGCATAAACATACATAAACAGGAATACAATAAAATCCAGGATCAAGAACACTAATACAATGATCAAGTATCAGTCTATATATGTGCATAATTGTGTGTATAAAATATGTAGGAATGCGATGTTGTTGATTTTTTTACAGATTGACAGTTGGAAGTGCCTTCTAGTACCTTCATTACCCTCTGGTAAACTAGCATAGCTATGGAAAATCAGTATTAATGGGAAAACTCACTATTTCTATGGCCATGTTCAATAGCTTTTTGTATGTTTACCAGAGGGTATAAGGCACATCAAGACGATACCTGTTGTAATCTGTTGTAGTTCCCCTGCGGGCCGCCTGCTGTCGAGGGTGCCGCGGCCTCTGGCACCGCGGAGGTCGCGCGCCGCGCCGCGCAATCACCGCGCTGTGGCACCGGCGCGACCGACACGGCCGGGCGCCAGGCAAAGGTGGGACCACTGGCGACCACGGCGGCCAAAATGACCTGGGTCACTTTTTTTGCACTTGGGATATTAGGTAACACTTTAAAAGGTAATCCGGCGCTTTTTTCAAGCTGGCTGATCAGCAGTCTCAACTTAAGCTGACTTGGCAGTTGAAGTCATGGGTATAACTATGAGAAAAACGCTCATAAGTTGGGATAGTTCACCCCTATAACTCTGGTTATATAAGTTATATATAGCTGTTTATAACCTCACGTGCACCAAGTATGGTAGAATTTCGTAGCTCTAGATTTTCCCATAAGGCCCACACCTTCAGAGCACATCCAACGGGACATCGAAAGCATAGCCCATGTCGCCGCATCAAAAGCGGCATGGCGGTGTTTGAATCCGCTGATCTCTGTCTGAAAATGGTGGGATTTGGCCCCATGATACCCTTACCAAATGACCATATTTGATGGTGAAGATGGATGGAATTAATAATTTCACCAGACCTGAAGCCGTTCTGAATCTGGATGATGGGTGTCTGTGTTTAATGATGTAACTAATCCCTTCCCCCCTTCACATTAAACACCCCTCAGAAACTATAGTTGTAGTGGAATTTGTACATATTTGTGACCATGCCGGGGGTGTTTGATATAGGGGGATGGGACTATATTGGGATATATTGGGATATTTTTCTTGTCAGATTAGGTTTGAAAAACCTGGCCATGGAATCGTATTGTTTCCTGAAGCTGTTGAAAGTTGCAGGTGAGATCTGCCACTCAACCAGAAGTAGGTCAGTATTCAGAAAACAGTATCGCCGATTGGAGGTTTATGCCGGGTTTGTCACACATCAAATTTCTTCAGAGACGTTCTATGGCAGTGTATCAAAACCTTGTACCCCTGGTGAACATCAAAATAGCTGGTAAATGGATGTTCATCCCATTAAAATGGTATTAATAGGTATTGATCCATACCCCTATCCCTAAGAATCTCCCAGCATTTTTCTCACCATTTCTGTTGCTGGTTCAATCCCCATCTTTTGAAAAAAAAATCAGCACTCTCCGCCTGTCGACTTCTCTCCCGCCTGGACGAAACCAGTTGGGATATACTGGGGATATAGTGAGAAATATGATTGAGACATATGGGAGACCTAGTGAGAAATATATATAATTACATATGTATGTAAGTATGTATGTATCTATCTATCTATCTATCTATCTATGTATCTATGTATCTATGTATCTATGTATCTATGTATCTATGTATCTATGTATCTACGTATCTACGTATCTACGTATCTACGTATCTACGTATCTATGTATCTATGTATCTACGTATCTACGTATCTACGTATCTACGTATCTACGTATCTACGTATCTATGTATCTATGTATGTATGTATGTATGTATGTATGTATGTAGTGTGTGTATGTAGTGTGTGTATGTATGTGTGTGTATGTATGTGTGTGTATGTATGTGTGTATGTATGTGTGTATGTGTGTGTGTGTATGTATGTATGTATGCATGCATGCATGCATGCATGCATGCATGCATGTATGTATGTATGTATGTAGTGTGTGTATGTAGTGTGTGTATGTAGTGTGTGTATGTATGTGTGTATGTATGTGTGTATGTATGTATGTATGTATGTATGCATGTATGTATGTATGTATGTAATTAATGTGTGTATGTAATTAATGTGTGTATGTAATTAATGTGTGTATGTAATTAATGTATGTATGTAATTAATGTATGTATGTAATTAATGTATGTATGTAATTAATGTATGTATGTAATTAATGTATGTATGTAATTAACGTATGTACGTATGTACGTACGTACGTATGTACGTACGTACGTACGTACATATGTATGTATGTATGTATGTATGTATGTGTAATGTAATGTAATGGAATGGAATGGAATGGAATGTAATGGAATGGAATGTAATTTAATGTAATGTAATGTACTGTAATGGAATGTAATGTATGTATGTATGTATAGCAGCAATACATATTATATAGATATATTACCATGCATAAATACTTTATACATATGTATGTATATATATATACACTGTATACTATTATTATAACCTACATTCGATGTGTCTGAAGTCGAGGAATTGTATCCCAAGTTGGGATAATTCGAATGGAGAAAATGGGGTAGCGATGGTCCTATGAGCCGCAATTAAGCTTCACCCTGTGAGCATTTTGAGGATTTATCGGATTCGAAGCAGTAGCATCAAAGATCACCTTGAAGTGTATCTCTGGAAATCTAGTTGTTATATGATATATATGTTTTTATAAACAAAAATGATAGGAGACAAGGGTTGCCCAAAAGAAAAACAGACATGTTCAAAGGTTCGACATTTCTTTGGTCCAAAATTCAGATCCCTCGAGTCTTCAGACCCCCCACAAGGGGGGTCTGAAGACTCGATGCACTGCAGTCATTCATCTGCGAAAAGATCTCAAAAAGGATCAAGAGTTTTTTCGAATGCTCTATTTTGTTCAAGATATTTTTCACTATATGAGTTATATCATCTACTCGAATGCTATTTTTTCGAAGGCATCCACGACACACTTCGGGTAGAAGCGTTGTGCTCAACCCAGTCGCCAAGATGTCGATTCAGAATGCTGCGATGTCCAACCTTTTTCCCTAGCGCTATGCGGATCGAAATCCAATCATTACAGTATACCATTATGATCAATGATAATATATGATAATATATGATATATCCAATCATGAAAAACCATGATATACCAATCATTATCATTATCCAATAAATATTTGGATATATCATGATCAATCCTTGGTAGTCCAGAAAAGATAGAGTAATGTTCATGGTGATATTATGTTATATTTTGTTAATGGTATAATTAAATCAATTATATATTGGATAATATTGGATAATAGGGATGGATATATTGGGTATGTTAAATGGTTTAGCAAAATTTCCCTTTCCAATTTTTCCAAATATCATCCCCAACCGACTGGATAGGTATACAGAAATGGCGCCGCCAACACTGGACCAAACTGGGGCCTCAGTCTTCCCTTCCAGGGTCTCATCCGATTCTGCCTACGCAAAGGGTCGAAGCTTCGATTTTTCCAACGACGCAAAAAACAAATGCATGTGAGTGGAGATATATTCTATATTGAGATTATAACAAAATCATATGTAGACAAACAAGAACAAACAACTATAATTATAAGAAAACATCTGAACTTATGTATCTTATGGTTTACCGGTTTGCCTGAGCTCGATTGAACGCCTCTACGTGACGCTTGTGCAAATCCAACCTCCTCCCCTTGGCAAAAAGCCTACGCAACACTTAACAACGCAGCTCAACTGCTGTAGAAAAACTATTCATGTTGAAGAGAACACTGCTCATCTCATTGTAGGTATGGTCTACCATTTCATACAGATCACCCAGAGAAAGTGAACATGTTCAAAAACATCTCAAAACTCGAACTTCCACGAACTAACAGGACATTCGAACTACATCACGAAATGATGGTCAGGAAGTGGACCAAATCTACCCATTTTCGAAGACACCGCCTTTTTGAAGAGCCTTCTCAAAGGGCAATCCCCTCGGATCCACGATGGTTTTTTTCGACAAATTTGGATTGGGATAACCAGATACTCGTTGAACGGTATCGAAATTTAATGGGTTCTTTTGAACAGGGATATCTTATATTATCTTATTATTTAAGTTAAGAACAAGGATATCTACCAACTCTTTTTACTTGGATAATGGCTTTTATTGTTTTCCCTTAGAATATTGAAATGAGTTTCAACGGATCTTCAATATATTAAATTCATGGGGAAAACAGAAAACAATCGTACAGTGAAATCAATATAAAGACAAGACTATCACGTCTAATTGAATCATATATATATATATACATACATCATCTATCATATCTATTTATATTTATATATATATACACATACTGTATATATGAACAGTTTTAAGATGTCTTACAGTACAGGCTCCCGCTGCATCGGTTTGGTGGTGAACTACCTGGACACCTTCCGCTTCAAACCTCGATAGTCACTGCCGTCATACGCATCCATAGACCCTCCAAGTACTCATGAAAATGGGTAAAAGTTCAATATATGTATATATTATTATATAGAATATATGTATACATATGTATGTACAGCATATGTATATAAGATAATTATATGTATACAATATATATACATATATATATATATATTGTATGTGTATATATATATACATGTCATATATATGTATTATATAATATATATCATATATAATGTATATTATATATGATATATCAAATATACATATTATATATAGGGATTTATATAGTAACATAATAATATGATATAATATTACTATATTTTTTTGACCTATTTTCTTGGAGGGTCCTCAACGAACTTCACCCCCTCGAGGCGCTGACCAACTTGCAGATGCTTCCGCTGCTTTGGCGAGAAGAAGTCGGCATGTGCCAACACCTCACCGCGCCAGTTTGGGGATCAACCAACTGGGGAATTCACCTTTTCAAAGTGTCATGGATTTGTAGTAAATACCATAGTGATTGAATGGGATTTTAAGTGATTTAATGGGATTTTATAGTGATTTAATGGGATTTATAGTGATTGAATGGGATATTAATGTGATTTATAGATATTTATAGTGGGATATTAATATTATTAATGGGATATACCCTCTGGTAAACATACAAATAGCTATTGAAAATACCATAGTTCGTGGATTTACCCATAAAAAATGGTAATTTCCCATAGCTATGTTAGTTTACCAGGGGGTAAATGGAATAACTGGTTGGTGGATGTTGGTGGTATACCTACCCCTCTGAAAAATGATGGAGTTCGTCAGTTGGGATGATGACATTCCCAACTGAATGGAAAAACCCAAAATGTTCCAAATCACCAAGCAGTGTAGCCAAAGTCGATTTTGTGATTGGATCGGATTGATTTCTCTCATTGAAGCATATTGAAGCCCTTTTCTGGCCCTCTGTTTCTTCTTTTTTCATGTTTTTGCCCCGTACTTTTTCTCCCTATTTATCTCCCTACTTGTCAACCTATTTATCACCCTTTGTTTTCTCCGTAGTTATCTCCCTAACATGTCTCCCTATTTTATCTCTGCGTTGAAATCGCCCAATCTTTTTTCTCCCTGCTTACATCATTGTTGGTCTCCCTATAAAAATTCCTATGTTTCGCCTTATGTTTCTCCCAAAATGGGATGTGCCTTGAAATGGCATGAGAGCCCGCCTTAAATGGGGTTTTGCAACTTGAATGTATGATGGACCATTAGATTTTGCCGTCTGTTTTCCCCTGTTTTTTGATCTCTCCATTTTAATGTCCCTATTTTTTCTCCCTATTGATCTACCCATTTTTCTCCCCATTTATCTCAGATTCCACAGGTTTCTGGTGCTAGATTTGCGAACCCAGAGTTGATTCTACTCCGCCACAGAAACCAAAAAGATCAGAAAGTGTCGAAGTGTTTCAATCATGCTCCCATTCAGTTTACGATCACTGGATTGATAACTTAAGATGATTTCTTTCCCATAGGATCCATGGTGCTGCCATATATGGTAACATGGATCCCATCAATATACCCCCTTTATGTTAGTATATATACCAGCACCATGGATCCTATGGGTTTGGGGAAGTGTTCGACCGAAAAAGATATGCCCAGCTCATCTCCGGGGGAGCGTCGAGGCGGTACATCTTCGCTCCGAGTCTGCTGGAACAGTCGTGGCAAAATTTCGCCTCAGGCAGTGATTCTGCAAAATATACAAAAAAAAATAGAGAACCATGATTGTTGGCATCCATTACATTGAATTACATACACTTATAACTTGTAAATAACATTAGATAATTGGCATTAGCATTCACCAGCATCATTGTATCTCAAGTGGCTAAAATCTCATTGGCAAAATATGTAAACATGATTAAACAATATTAAACATGTATAGGGTCGAAACAAAATCCAAGAAAATGATAGAACATGTGTATATAAACATCTACGAAAACAATCCTGGACACTCCTATCGGTCAAATCCTGCATTTTGAGATGAAATGAACTCGCTGAGACATCGCGCATTGGTCAAAATGTCGAAGATCAGGGTCTTCTCCACTTTTCCCTCCTGACCTGGGTCATCGAAAAAACTCCCATCATTGTGGCTGAAAATGGTTGGAAAAACATGGAAGTTTGCCAATGTTTGCCAGTATGTTTGCTATAGAATTTATGGATATTTATGGTCTGATTCTCTTGCAAAACTGTTTCTTCCTTGGAAAAGTTTCAATCACGTCGATATCGGTTCCAAGGGTAGATCAACACATCATGCATGGGGCGTCCTAAAAAGGGGCCAAAGCCAGTGGGAAAATTATGGTGTAGAAATCATCATCTTATGATTTCAGGTGATTTTCCTATGATTTCCCCCATCGGAAATTTCAGATGATCTGCACAGAAAAGCATCGTGGGAAACAGACCCAGATCACGCTGGGGCCATTGGCAACGCTGCAGCGCCTTTCCCAACCACTTCAAGCGTAACTCAGGCTTCATCGAGTGTACCTCGGACTCCGGCAGCCGGTGACATGGCAGATGGTTTCTGCGAAAAACATCCCCTCTCCAATGTCTTAAAAAACAGAGTACTTAAGACATCACTTCCATGAACAGTTCAATATACCTCCCTGCTTCAAGATTCCTGTGCCAACAACTTCCCTTCCCGACTTCGGTCAACAGCCTCCCCAAGCCACCTGTTTGGCATCAACATTCAGCGCCGGTTCCTGCATCGCTGGACCAGGTCTTGGTATTAATGGATATTAATGGAGCCATGCTGGCGAGCCATGCGCCACGCTCCTCCTTTTCTTCCTTCTTTGTTGGCTTCTTCCTGGCGATCCCAGGAAGGATCATTCAGGCAGTTCGTTGGACCCGTTCCGCTGAAGGTTTTTCTTCAGATCGAGGGTCTTTGATCATAGGTCTGCACCTATCAAGTTTGTGTCAGTCTCACATTAACTTAACAAGTTTGTGTCAGTCACACTAAGTTCACACTAAGCCACTGAGCAGTACGGCCGAAGTAAAGCAGTATCGACTCTCCGTTGTGTGGAGTTAAAGACGTCTCCAATGCGGGTAGGAGTAGGATCATTAAAGCTTTCGCCAAACTTGTGATTACCCTTCGCGACAGGGAAATACCAAGCCTGATGGACGCATCAAAACGATCGCACAAATACATTCAAACACACTTGGCACGGAAACAAAATGCATCACATTGCAATCTCGAACGGATCTGGTTCATTAAAAAAAAAAAGCGTCACCGCAGAACCCATGGAGCAGTTTAGAAGCGTTCTTCGAAACCACTCAAAAACCGTAGGACCTGCGTTTACAAATCACGCAGTATTCAGTGCTGTAGATCACAAAAAAACTCCCAATTTCACGTTTCCCAGCCAGTCCTGGTCACTACTTCTGCGGGCAAACAGCGGTTCAAGGGGTTCGCATCATCCGGAATGCCCATGGCTCCGGTGAAAACGCCCCTGTGGTGCAACTTGTTCAGATGGCCATGGCCAAATCACTGCCCCAAAAAATTGGCAAATTCAATCCCTTACCATGTACTGATTTGGCCACTGATTTATTACTCTCGGCATAGCATCTAGCTTTAGGATCTGGCAGTTAAGTTGGGACGTTGGGACCCCATGTGAACCCAGCTGCCGACCATCCCGCTGAGGCTGGCTCCAGTAAGGGCTCCTCGTTAAAGGATATCTTTACAGTAAGACTCCGTGCCATCTTCCTATTTTGTTCTTGTACTTCTTAGACTTTTCACATCAAGTATACTCTGTATACTCTTGTTTTTTTGAGCTCCGGGCCGCTGAAGCATGCTCAGTCGCATGGTGTTTTTTCATGGCAGTGGATTGCTGTCCAAAAGAGAACCAGGTCACAACCAGCGGATCCACACCACAAGCGGCGCTTTTGTACACCATGCAGCGGTCTGGATTCTTCACAGGTTATCGGCATCCGAATTGGACACCAGGCACGTCGAAAAAAAGGCCTGGACGTCATCCAGAGTGTCACAGTACATGATCATGTGAAAAAATGCTGCCATTCAATGTACAACGCTCCACCTGAGATATCTGAGATATACTTCACAGTTCGTAAAATACAATGACCCCCGAGCCACTGAGTAACACCATAATATATGATCAGCCACCAGGGGTCTAGGCATTACCATCCTCATGCCATGCTCATGGACTGGGATCTACTGAGCATGTGCCTACCAGGTCAGCACTGGATCCTTAGGATTGAGATGGATTGAGCCATTGAATGATCTTGATAGTTAGAAATGTTAGAATAACAGCTCAATCCATGTCTGCGTCCGGAGCCACAAAGATGCCCCTAAAAACCAATGTGTCTCATTCGAACGTCCATTTGTTTCGTGTTTTTTTGCCATTTCCTCAACAAAGTCATGTTCCAGGCTCCGCACCAGCTAATGGATGTCAATGCCCTGAAACCTGCGAGATGTTTGGTTACAACGGACTGCATGTTGTGTACTTCAACTGCTGCGGTTCAAATGCGCCACTTTTGTTCAGTCAAAAAATTGCCACGTGTCAGGATTCCTGCAATTCCAAACCACCAAGCCCCCAGTTCCCGGCGTTTTTAAACTGTCAAGTCTGCCTGCCTTCACCAGAGTTCTTGGCTGGGCGAAGACAGGAGCACCCCCTGCCTGCGTGCTTACTGCCGTCCCCACCATTGAGAATTTGGGATGCTTGATGGGGTATGTATGACGTGTAGCAGGCAACAGATATGTATTATATATATATATATTATAATATATAATAATTATTATGATTAACTTGTATAACCTATATAATAATCTGATATAACCTGAACATAATATAAGATAATATGTAGGCATGGTGTGATCATCAATCCTCTCACTTAAAGGGCCTCCACCGCAGCAGGTCGTGGCATGTTCACCGTGTCGCCATCTTTGGCCACTTCCCGGTTCAACACGTTGCGACCTACGTCGAAGTCGGCTCGAATCCGCTCGAAGTTCCGAAGTTCCAGGGCTCGCCCCAGTGATAAAAATCATCAGTATCCCGTATCCCTATCAGAATGGCAAGATATTGATGGTATGTGGTGATATAAATGGGATATATATATATATATACTGTATATATGTATAGTAGCTATAATCTGGTGGCATGCCCCATTTTCAGACACGCCCAAAAATCTGATGGAAACAGATTGCCATTTCCCAAAGCTGATCCTATTCTGTCCCACGGCACCACGGTTGTGTTTTCAGCGTCACTGAGAGACCCCACGGCCATATCCAGTGCCTGAACCCTGCCGAGGAACTGAATGGAAGTGAATGGAACTGGGACATACCCAACTCATACAATTATTACCCTCTGGTAAACTAACATAACTATGGAAAATCACAATTTTTCATGGGAAAATCCACTATAAATGGCAATTTTCAATAGCTATGTTAAATTACCAAAGGGTAACATGTGTTAACCACTTAGGATTCCCGAGTTCGCATACCCTGCGTAGGACTTCGGATTCCTGGTTAAAAAACGCCTGGTTTTTGTACCTCTTGTGATTTGTTAGTTTGCGAACTGGAAAATGACAATGTTGAAGTTCGGAGAATCATGTATAAACTATCTATATATATATATGGGGGTTGTCCAAAATACCTTTTCCCGGACAGCCCTCAATCGCTCAGCCAATCGCGTAGCAACCGCGGTACCACAGTGAGCAATCGCGGAAGGGTTTGTTCTTCATTGATCAGATCATATACATAAAATATAAGTTATGTATTATATAATGAGGATCCATGCGTGAACGCATTCGATTTCAAATTTGGGAACAAAATAAGCTCGCGCGGTCCGGAAACTGTCCGGAAAACTCACAGTAGTACCAGCAGCAGTAGTACTAGTAGTACTAGTAGTACTAGTAGTACTAGTAGTACTAGTAGTACTAGTAGTACTAGTAGTACTAGTAGTACTAGTCGTAGTAGTAGTAGTAGTAGTAGGAGTAGTAGGAGGGGTAAGAGTAGGAGTAGGAGTAGGAATAGGAGAAGGAGTTCTAGTAGCAGGGCAAGGGAAGAAAGGGAGAGGGAGGGAAAGAGAGAAAGAGAGAAAGAGAGAGAGAGAGGGAGGGAGGGGGAAACAGATGGTTGCGTTTGACCGGTTTCTGACGGGTTTCTGACGGGTTTCTGACTGGTTTCTGACTGGTTTCTGACTCGTTTCTGACCCTTCAGCGGAACGCGTGTCAATTGGATTTAAAAGCAAGAGCAGAAATTCCTAGGTGTACTAGTGGTAGTGGTGGTGCAGTAGCAGCGGGTGTGGTGGTAGTACTAAGAGTAGTAGCAAATCTAGTAGTGGGAGTAAGGATCCATGCGTGAACAGCGGGTGTGGTGGTAGTGCTGGGGGTAGTAGCAAATCTAGTAATGAGAGTAAGGATCCATGCGTGAACGCATTCGATTTCAAATTTGGGAGCAAAATAAGCTTGTGCGGTCCGGAAACGGTCCGGAAAACTCACAGTAGTACCAGCAGGACTAGCAGTAGCAGTAGCACTAGCAGTAGTGGTAGTGGAAATTGGAATAGGAGTAGGCGTAGGAGTTCTGATGGGAGGGTGAGGGAATAGGCAAGGGAGAGAGAGAGAGAGAGAGATTGCGTTTGGCCGGTTTCTGGCGGGTTTCTGACTGGTTTCTGACTGGTTTCTGACTCGTTTCTGA